ACATGGCAACTTGAAGAGGCATCGCAGCCAGGGCACAGTAGAAGTTGATGGCTAGGCAGCCTCCACAATCTGACCTCGATTCTCACTCGATTTAGTTACTATGCAGAATAGACCTTCATTACCAGCAGGTACCTCCTTCAGGGGAGTATTATATAATCCAGTTACACATTCATATGATGCACAGGATGAGGGAGAACTAGAGACCAAATGGAACAGGTTGAGGAAGGGTCTACTCACAACAGTGACCAAAATCTGTCAGAGGCGGATCCCCTAAAAAGTGGGGGGATGTCAAACATTGAAGGCATTAAGCCAGACCACCGACCTTCAGGTCTGTTTCGTCCACAGACTTTTTTCAAGTCTCTGTTGTTTCAAAAAAAAAAAAAAAAACCACTTCCTGCCTTGATATTCCATTTCCCCTCGGCCCAACAATCATTACTATAAGGAGGGGACAGATGATTTAATCTTCTCCCAACCAATAATGTAAGAGGAAGTCATAACTGTCCCACAGAGGTTCTTGGACCTCGTCCAGAAACAAGGGGTCTCTTCAGTGGCGTATACCCCTCTTACAGAATATGATAGCAAATTTTTAATTTGGTTTTCTCATTCTGCTAAATTTCTCATCACCACGATAGTAGATAAAACAATAATGGCAATTATCCTCCTCCTCTGCAATTCCAATGGAAGCAAAAGAGGCTCTCAAGTCAAAGGATATACAGGGTCGAGTTGTCCCCATGTAGGGCATGTGGATCTGATGTGAGGGCCATAAGAGCGGAGTCGGCCTCATCCCCCCCTTTTTTTACTAGATTGTCTCTCAGGTTGCTGTGCCATCTGAGGGAGATTATCTCATATTTCAATATCAGGGCATACAAGGACGCCACAAAACTCTATTAAATTATCTGCTCAAGCCAGGGCATCTCAGGTTATTCCTCGCCTAGTGTTATGGCTCAGACATTGAGAAGCAGATATCACACAACTAATGGAAGCTTGCTTCCTCCCCAATATATGAAGATAATTTGGTTGGTGGTGCCCCTGAGCTATCACTGATAGAGACTAGAAGCAGAAAATAAGTTCTTCTCTTTTCATAGACCCCAAACTAGTCCTTCCCAGCTTTTTGGAGAGTTCCTTCGTTCCCTCTACCAGGGACTTTTTCTCTCCAGACTCCAGGGACTGTCTGGACGCATGAATCACCAACAGTCAGATAGTTTCCGATCTGGTGATAGATACTGAAGGAGATGGCAGAGCAAAAGAATCTCTTGAGGAACATGAAATAGAGGTCTCCGAGGCACAACATAGGCCTCACGACTGTGCTCCTATTGGTGGAAGGCTCAAGCCTTTCACGGAGAGATGGGATGCCTCTACCTCTATTTCCTGGGTTAGAGGTATCAGAAAATTAGGCCTGGCTATAGAATTTCCATCCTCTCCCCGGAACCTTTGCATTACTTGCCCTCTCCCCGGGGATCCTGTCAAAGGGAGCATGATGGAGACAGCTATTGTTCATTTATTGGAGATCCAGGCAACCAACCTGTGGCACCGGATCAGCAGGGGCAATTTTAGTTTTAAAATGACTTAATTGATCCATAGTTCATAGGAGGCTTAAGATGAGTATATTGAACTCCATACTTCTGAGCTTCAGAAGGGGCAATTTTCTACCCTTCATTGACTTAATGGAGGCCCATCCCCACATTCCAATTAGATCCTCACATAGCAAAACTCTTAGTTTTTGTTATAATACTCAACGTTTTGAATACATTGCACTGTCCTTTGGGTTGTCATCTGCCCAAGGTTCTTACAAAGGTTCTGATGGCTCTGGCTGTTCATCTCAGGGGAACACCTGTTAGATGGCAGTGTTATTTATATGACATTTCATTATTATCTTGTTCATATAAACAGGCAAAGGGGAGGCCTTAGCATCGGTCATCACTAGGAGAGACTTGCAGTCCATCTCTCATCACCCATGCATATGCCATTTTCTTGCACGGGACTACAATCTTACAGCCTCCTGTAGTGCATTGATATCACATGTGGTACCTCAACAAGGTCCTTACTGCACTCAAGAAAACTCCCTTTGAGCCCATGTAGACCATGCGTCTCCATTCCTAACGTACAAGGTGGTTCTCTTGGTTGCCATTACATCGGACAGTTACATCTTGGGTCTAGTAGTCTTGTCAGTTAGACAGGAGTTCTGTATTTTTCACATAGACAAAGTGGTCCTTAGTCCAGATCCATCTTTCACCCATAGATAATTTTGGGTTTCCACAGACCATAGGAACTGATACTCCTGTACATTTGTCCGAAACCGACATAAAATCTAGCACGACAATGCCACAATCTAGATGTAAGGCGAGCTTTCTGCATATATTTCAACTGCACGATGTGTGTTAGGAAACAAAGGTTCTGTTTGTTTCTTTTCAACCACCCACCATTGGGTGCAGGACCCCTTCCTCAATGACCAGTAAGTGGCTGAGAGCACAATTCCCAAGTCCTATGAGACACAATCTCTTCCTGTACCCAGGGGCATCACTGCTCATTTGACCTGGAGCGCTGCGATGTTGACAACATGGGCCACAAACGCCAATAGCGAAAATTTACAAGGCGACAACATGGACCTCATCATCGCCTTTTATTTAGAAACTATTAGAATGACGTCTTTGCCTCTACGGAGGCTGCCTTTGACAGGAAAGTGTTACAAAGGGCCCATAGGGACCAAGAAAAGGGGAATCCAAACCAGATGGAAGCCCTCCCGTAGGACACGCCAAGCTTTGGTATGTGCCAAACAATGGATGCTCTGAACAGCTCATCTGGAGAAGGGGCTTTGGTACTTACCTGACACGCCCTTTCTCTGTGAGCTGTGAAGAGCATCCATCCCCACCCTTATTCGTCTGGTGGGATGATATTCCGACCAAGTATTAGAAAGGGTGAAGGAGAAGAAATATTTCATCACTTCGACTTCGCCAAAACTGGGGACGCTAGGGACGAGTCCCGTGGAGGAAGAGGAGTGTCCTCTCAATTAAAGCCCAGCCTATCAAACGAGCGACAGAAGCATCATCCCAAACAATGGCTGTTCTTCACAGCTCACAGAGAAAGGGCATGTCAGGTAAGTACCAACACCCCTTTTCTTATCTTGTAATTATTTTCTCTTATGATGAGTGACATATCTGTGTTAGTCATAACACTTCCAATCTTAGATATCTGAACAAGAATTAAGTATGAATGGTATTTTGATAGATTGAACATTTCACACTTGAGCAGAATATCTACCTTGAACTGATTACAACTGATTGAGTTGTAAGTGCAAGTGCAAGTGGCAATATAATATATGGTTTTAAATTCAGGTACAATTTTGAAAATCTGGGGTCATGAGAAGGAAAAGGCTTACAATGAAAAGCAAAAACATTTTGTTGGTTGTGTCTGGATGTATGGATGTATCAAAACGTGCTTATATATGTATGACATATATATAATATATTTATGAATGCCCAGAGTCGCTTTGGATAGTGAGATAGGCAGCATATACATTTAATAAAGAAATAAAAATAAAATTTTGTGACTATTAATTTCAATTTTTGAAAGTCTATAAATAAAGTAAATGTTACAAATGAGCAATTAGATTAAACATTTAGTTAATACTATGCATAACTTTGAACAAAAAGGTTACATTCTTAGAACTCATTTTTTAATTTAGGAATCAATGGTCTGCAGTTTGAAACTTTAGCTTCTTGGTTTATGGTTAACTGATATATATGATGCACAAACACAAACACATTTCAGGTTTATTTCTGGCTTATTCATGGACCCTTTCCAGCTTCACTGATGTATAAACTAAGAGGATCAAAACAGAAGAAAAACAAATTCAAACATGTTCGTTGTGCTTATCTGCAAAAAAGCACATTCTTGTTTGTTTCTGCCTTGTTGAAATTATTACTAAATCATGTAATATGCAAAACGTCTATTCACACAATCATTACGTACTGTATCTGTCCATTACTGATTTTGAAATCCAGTTCAAATGCCTAATCACATGTATAATACATTAAGCATAAACTGATTTTACCACAAAGTGTAGATGCCACGGATTAAACTTAAACCTTTCTTGTCATGCTTGTTTTCTGTGCATGTGAATATTTTTTTTTCCTAAATGGATGAGCTTTCTGAAACGTCATTCTACCATCTGTGATTCTATGTTGTGATTATGCAAACTCATCCTCCTAGCTAAGATAAAAATAGCAGTTACCAAAACAATGAACAGACAAAGATGAGCCTATTCACAAAAACAAGCAAGCCTGTCCTCCTCTGTGAAATTAAATAGACAAGAATTTTGGCATTACAAATTACCTAAGTATGGGTGTCTGTTTGGAAAAAGAGTACTTGCTGGAATGTCTATGGGGAGATTCTCAGTCATCTACATCATGGTTATCCCCAAAATGTTTTTTTTCAAGAGGCAACTGGACTTTGTCTTTTCTTTGAAGACCTTTCGCCAAAAGACCAGGTCACTCTTTCGAAGACAACAAAGTCCCTAATAAAAATATAAGCAAGAATACTGCAATTCAACAAGCCTTTCTTTCTGCTAGTTATAATTTCTGTTGCATTAACGATCTCTGTGTTTTCTGAAGACAAATTCTTGGTAATTTTAAAGCCAGCTGTTTTTCCTCAATAGTGAGCATGCTGATGCATAGCTGTGTGGTGAAAATGGAGCTATGTTGTACAGAAGGCTAGAAAGGAGACTAAATAGTGGGAAAACCGAACTGCCCCAAGGCCTGCAGGATCAAAGGAAAGCACTAGAGCCAAGGTAGAAATAAATGGACTTAATACCCCCTGGTAGTAATACTGTCAAATCAATCAGATCTAGCGTCGATCGCAAAGTGGTGTAAAACACTGATGCAAAAGTATCCTTAACTAGGTTTAATATGTTGTACAGACCCAGCCAGCGTACATTAGAGAGAGGCAGCCTCTTAAATCCAAATGCATTTTATGTTTACAATGGATAATAAAAAAAAATAGAACAGCCCTCTGTCTAGTCGTTTAACACTAGTAAAAATTTACGTTGGGGTGCTTCTCTTTAATTTTGCTTCATTTAATTTTACTGGCATGGGCTTTCTCTCATTCGTGTTTGTATTTTGAGATGGTTTCCCCCCCCCCACACACACATTTTTTTTACTTATCTTCTTTGCCAATTCTATTATGTCTCAATGTAGGCAACTCATTTTGTAAGCCAGCAGTTAAAGCTGCTGAAGGCTTTGTTCATAATGAATTATGAATTATTAACTGCTTCCAGTGGAAAAATGGTGAATAAAATGTGACCCCTATTCTTACATATGTTCACCATTAGGAAACCTGCTACTACAGTATTTTCAATTATTACATTTCTCATTTTAAAAACTGCTCTGTTATCCTGTGTTTTCCTATTGTTGCCTAATACTGAGATCATTGGCTTTCAAAATGTCTTTGGGTACCACTTTGTACCTTGGAATCTGTAAATAGCCAACATCTTTCATCCCCTTTCCTGATTGCAAAAGGGCTGGCAAACTTTTCCTGCATCTTGACCAAGAAGATAGGTTGGAGAGAAAAGGCTGAACATGTTTTAAATAGCTGAAGGTCCAAGGTTCAACTTTGTCTCCGTGAGAATAAGCACCCCTTTCTCTGACATGATGGCTTTTGTACAGGGCACCTTAAGACAAACAATGTGGCCTTTTAAAGATGGACATTCATAAACCACATGTGTCCTAGAAATCAGAAAAGTACAAACAGGAGACAATATTTGTAACTTAGGGTTGAACTATGGGGTCCTTGGTCTCTATTTTCTTTTAAACGTTTCAGCACCCAACTAGGTAACATCATCTGTGCTGGGGTTTAGAACTAGTATGGATGATCTTACTGAGTTGGGTAATTAAATGTCTGCAAGAAAACTACTAAACTCAGAGAGGACCAAACAACCCCACAAATCAGAAATGTTTTGTTTATTTATATGTTCAAACCTCTACAAATGCCCAATAACTCAATACTGAATTTGAGTAGATAATCTTCTCTAGCATTCCATATCAAGATAAGTTGATGAAGAAAAGGGACAGATATCAATCCCATCAGTGCAAGTCTGAGTGCTTTTAAAAATAAAATGTAAAAGTAATTTGCATCTTTGTCATTTATTGTTTACCAAAAGGGTTTGATACGTTTTGTTTTACAAAACAATCCAATCACTCCTCTTCATTATATGCTATGATTTGACACTACAGAACATAAGCCTTTATTTTCCATGCCACATATACATTTGTATGTGGTTGTTTTTTTTTTAAATTATGTGTTGAAATAGCACATGCTTGAATTTAGGGAATGAATGGCAGGTCTTAAAACTGCACACTTTTTTTGGTGGACTTATTACAAGTTTAGCTTTGTGTATCTGAGACTTGGCAGTTGAATATGTCATTTCTATTTATTTGAGGCATGCAGGTTATTGTCATTCAATATGTAATGGCTTCATAAATCACATTGTTTCCTTCTAAGGACAGTAAGGAAATTCATTTGTTTTCCAAGCCCTACGCATGATGTAGTTACAATAGGAATCTAGTGGCTAATCTTATGTGTTGCCGGCAGTAGAACAAGACATCATGGCTTCTGTTAGATTGTAGTATTGGTAAGCCTGCAATTTCAACTAAAACATGCTGAAATAAGTGGAATTTACTCCCTATAATGTTGCAGAGGATTAATTTGTTACTCCTAGCAACATATTCACTGAATGAAAACTCTGTTTAATAATAGATCTTGCTCTGCTTACAGATTGCTTGTTGTGTTTACAGCTTTAATAGCCAGTACTATTTTTTTCAATCTTAGTACTGGTCTTTATTGTCATCTCTGACAATATGTTATGCTCGGATTTGTTTACTTTCTTGGGAAGTCATGTCTTAGCAGTTTGACATGCAGCCTGAATTGGAAAATTAGGAAGCTTAATATGAGAACAATGTAAACTAAAAATGTAAAAGTTAAGCTATTGACCTTACAAATGACTTCGGGGATTTATTAGTAAGCCATCAGAGAATTTCACAATTGCAGCAATAGCATTAATAACTCTTGCTGCATCACACAACTCTTGTCTTCTGACTGTAGTGCAGAGATATATATTCTCCCCATGTATCATTTCTTGGAATTTATATTCATTTTTTTTTATTTTAATGTAAAAATGTTTGGTTTTACTTTGTGCCATATCCAAGAGTCCCAGAAGATGTGCCATATGAAAAGGGCATAATCTTAATTTGCTCACTCTTATATTGTTTTTGTTACTTGCATAATATAAATCAAATGTGTTATTGCCTAACAAAAGTAAGAAAGCAGTGAACTGTTTACTGTACTACACATTTGTGCTGTAATCACACTTCTATCCATAACTGTGAAGATAAGGAAAAATTAATGGATTCCCCTGTCCAATCATGTCTGACTTTAGGGGGCAGTGCTCATCTAAATTTCCTAACTGGAGGAGCTGGTATCCAAATACACTTCCATGGTCTTGTAGCCAGCATGAGTATATACTGAATACCGAGGCACACAGAACGCTGTTACTTTCCCACCAAAGTGGTACCTATTTATCTACTTGCATTTGCATGCTTTCAGATTATTAGGTTGTCAGGAGCTCAGGCGAGAACTGGAGCTCATGAGGTGCTTGGGTTTTAGGTGTTTTATTGGGATTATGTTGTAGAATTCTAGATAAATTATGAAAAAAATGTTGCATTATGTATTATTTTATGCTAATTGTCCCAGGGAGTTGGGTTTTTAGCATGCAGTCAAACAAAACTCACATCACACAAAGACTTTCTGGTGGGCTAGCTTTTTAAATTAAAAAACAACAACAACTATAAGTCTCATCAGCCATGTAAGGTATATAATATACAGTGAGTGGTAGCTAAACTGCAGTATCCTCTCCCAGTGTTTGACTTTGAAAAATTGTGACATGCAATCAAGCAGTAAATTAATTATGTCTTACTTCCTTTTAGTGATTAGTTCTCTGCCTCCAATAATCTACTTTCATTACCATTACAAAAAGTGTGTTTAACTTAACGTCTTGTGCATACAGCCATTACCAAATTTACCCTTTAGAGTCAATCAAGGGCATTAATTAAGTTTGACTGGCAATATTTTGTGGCTAACAGAACATTGATTTTCTTCTTGGGTCTTCTCTGGAACACTTTCTCCATTTGTGAATAATTAGACACGAATTTTCAAAGATTTTTCCCTTCATCCAGAAATTCTTCAACAATCTTTCAAGATTTCACTCTGGAACCTGCCTTCAGCAGCCAAAATAGCCTAAATCCAATTTAATTTATCAGAAATTGCTTTCTTTTCCTCAGGCTTTAAAATTTCAGCTGTGTTTTTGCCAGCATATCAGCCTATTTTTACTTCTGGAAAAATAATTTTTACCTCCTGGAAGAGCTTCTGTAGAGAACTTTATAACCATCCAAGTACAATGGATCCTATTTGAGAAATGATTTGATCATTGTTAATGCGTTAAGACTGTGGGTCCTTGGTGCTCTCTGAGCTTGGTGGGTTTCTTGCAGACGTTTCATTACCAAATTAGGTGCATCAGTGTATTGATTATGTTACCTAGTTTGGTAATGAAATGTCTTCAAGAAAACCACCAACTTCAGAAAGCATCAAAGACCCCACAGTTTAACCCTGAACTACAAATATTTTTTTCTAATGTATTAAGAAGATAAAAATTCCTAATATTTTTCATGGGGTACCCTTACATTTACTGCTAAAAATTGTTCTATATCCTAGATTTGGAATTTCTGGTAAGACTTCAGGGAGAAAAAGTTGTTCTACATCACCAAATGAAAAAAAATGTAATTTGAAAAATGACTATTAACTAGGGAAATAATTTTTAAGATAAAGCTTACAAATTTCACAAATGCCCTAGAAATAATGCAGGCAAAAATATCAGTAGTGAAATATATGCTGCTTAACTTCTTGACATTTTCAATTACAGTGAGAAAGAATAAATTTATGATTATAATTTTTCTTTCTCATAAAATTTGGTTGTGGTTGATTGGTCTTTTTTTTTCCATCTCTTACTTTCTCCAGGAACTTCTCACCAATACAAATGTTTTCTTTTTAATGGGTATATTAATCATTCTGATTCTTAATTTGGTCTTAATATTTCATTTCACTTAGATAAATGCACTGTTACATTTGATCCTTTAGATGCTCATTCCTCACCTTTAATCTTTGGCATCAGGTCAGGCAGGTTTGATGATATGTTTCTCTCTTTTTCACTAACCTCAATGTTTGATGAGTATTCTTCAGGGACAACAGAGAAGGACAAATGAATCAGACCCAATTGCCCGTTATTGTTTTCAGGCATGGTGATCATTTAAGAGAAAGCTTTTTGTCCCATTGAAAGGTAATATAGCAGGGGTGAGCAATTATGGCCCTTTCCGACCTATGGACTTCAACTCCCAGAATTCTTGAGCTAGGCTGGCTCAGGAATTCTGGGAGTTGAAGTCCACAGGTCATAAAGGGCCACAGTTGTACACCTAGGGTTATAAAAAATCATTTGCTGCTTTGCTCATTTGTGGCCAGATAGATGATGTATAGGTAGTCCTTCACTTACAACAATTTGCTTAGTGACCATTCAAAGTTACAATGGGTACTGAAAAAGTAACTTATAACTAGCACTTGCACTTACGATAATCATGGAATCCCATGTTCATGTGATCAAAATTCAGGCACTGGGCAACTGACATCTCTTTACAATGGTCATGTCAGGGTTCTAAGTAACAGCCCAAATGAAATCAAAACTCCAAGGCCAGAGGTTTCCTCAAAGTGTAGATTTATTAGCCATGTCATATTGGTACAGCTGGTGAAAACCCAACTCTGAAGTTCCCTGGGTTTGCCACACCCACTTCAAAGTTCTTCCCCCCCCCCCCCGAATCCTGGGTCATGTGATCACCATTTGGGACCTTCCCAGCCAGTTTCTAAGTCAGTGGGGAAAGTTGGGTTTGCTTAATGAATGCATGATTTCAGTTAACATCCGTGGCCAAAAAAGGTCATAAATTTGGATGTGACTCATTTAAGAACCATCTTGCTTGGAAACAGAAATTCTGGTCCCAATTGCAGTCATAAGTTGAGAACTACCTGTATTTCAGTTTAATTTAATTCATTTCATCAATTCATCAATACAAAATATAAAACTATTTTTGACCTATTGGGTTTATCTGATATTTTCATAGCATGCTTTGGGCAGTCCCACAAAATGGTTGCTACGGGTCAGGGGTGGGATTCAAATTTTTTAACAACCGGTTCTGTGGGTGTGGCTTAGTTGGTGGGCATGGTTTGGTGGTCATGTGACTGGGTGGATGTGGCTTGGTGATCATGTTACTGGCTGGGCGTGGCCAACTCCATAGCACTCACATCAAGGCACGCATCTTCTCACCTGGCCTCTCATGACTGTGGGGATGCTGCAAGTTGTAAGTGTGAAAAATGGTCATTAGTCACTTTTTTCAGTGCCATTGTAACTTTGAATGGTCACTCCATACAAGCAAAGTACCAGAAAAGGAGGGGAAAAAAACTCCAGAGAAGTTCCTGAGACAGAAAGTCTAGTCCTGCCAAGAATGTAATAAGGGTTAATAGAGAGGCAGTTTCTGTAAGCAACACCAGAATGTTTCCTTCCTGCCTTCCTTACAGGATTAGGCCAGTAATTTCTTCTAACAACCGGTTTTCCTAACTGCTTAGAATGTTAACAACCACTTCTAGCGAATAGGTGCTAACTGGTAGAATCCCACTCCTGCTTCAGGTGAATTCGCCTATTCATGAAAAGTTTGATTTTTTGCCCATTACAAAACTTCCACTTGTTGGGAGGGAAAAGAAAAACTGGTCAAGTAATTCTGTTTCTTCTAGCTCTTTATTATTGTCACTTACTTTGAAGTACAATAAAATTCTTCATTTGAGGTCTGTGTAAGGGCCAAAGATTTCCTTCCTTTTTATATAATAAAAATGAAATGAAACAAAATAAAAATCGGGGAGGGGTAGGAAGTCTGGATACTGAAAGATTGGTTCATAGATATATTGCTGCTGATTGCTAAGTTGAGTTCTAAGTATTTTTACTGTTAGTTTGCAATATCCAATGACTATTAAATAGATATCAGCTCCCTTCGTCATTGCATTTCATCTCTTCTGTAAATGTGAGATACAGTGCTAATAGCTTAAGTTACTGTCTGCTGCACATTTAATTGGCAGGTAGCCCTAGCCAACTCCATGAAACTCATTCCAAATAAATGTCAAGCTAAGTCCAAGCACAACAGATCAGCTGGAATTCAGTTCTTTATTTGCTTATATACAGTACAGTAGATAGAATCTTGTCAGACTAAACCTTTATTACTCTTACTCTAACAGATGTAACCTGGGAGATGCTAGAGTAAGGGTCTTCCAACTTGGCAAGTTTAAGACTTGTGGACTTCAACTCCCAGAATTCCTGAGCTAACATGACTGGAGGAAGAATTCTGGGAGTTGAAGTCCACAAGTCTAAAAGCTGTCAAGTTTGAAGACCCCTGCTCTAAAGAGTGGGTATCTTTACTTTCTTCCTCAGTCTCCTATCTAGCTCCATGTTGTGCAGCCTCTTGACTGGTTCCATTTTCTAGAATGTGTTCCCTCCTTCTTGGGATGCTGCTAATTCACTGTTATCTATCACATCTCCTTAGGCACTATCTCTCATAGTAAATAAAGGCAGAACCAGTTCTCTTCAGAGGTGGGGGAATATGTTTTTAAATTGGCTTCAGTCATGGGTCTGAAGGAGTGTGGCAGCTCACTAGGTTAGGATGCTGGGCTAAGCTTACTTTCAAGATCCAGTTATGCTACAGAGTGACGTGAGCTCCCATTACACACTCCAGCTCCTGCCAACCCAGAAGTTCGAAAGCAGGCAACAATGAGTAAATAAATGGGTACCACTTTGGTGGGCAACTTTAAAGGGACATGAAAGGAGCCCCCAACTCGGCATCCCCCAGGCAACAATGACGTCACCAGCAGATCCTTTTGCCACAGAAATACTTCAGTGCTTCTGACACGGAAGTCGTAATAGTAATAGTCACGGTCTAAATCTGGACAATCCTAAAAGATTTGTATCTAATAAGCCCAAACAAGATGATAGAAGAATGGTCAGTGATATATGTGAAAATATCTATTTTTGATTTTAATTGCGGTGAATGGAGCTCGGGAAGTAAAATACTCTCAAATAATAACTCACCCTTAACAATATTGTAACAAACTGCCTTGACCAATGTTAATTAATTGCATTAGCCTATGCTTGTTGGTGGGAAACATATCTCTGAACAGTTAATCTGTAATGCAGAAGGAAAAACTTTGCAAACTGTGGGATGAAGTCTCCTTTCATCACTTTGGCACTTGGCCAGTGAGACTGCTGATGATTGCACCATTTTAACAGCTCCATAACTTACCAGTTTGGGCTTCACTAAGAAGACTGGAAGGGATCAATACAAAGTAATACAGCACAAAATGTTGTCATGTCAGTAACAGCTCCTGGGATTAGATATATGCCAGAAACAATAGTTTAGACAGCTCTGGTGTATTAATCAATAGCGAAATAACTATAGATTGTATTTGGACCCAACAGTTTAAATACTTTGATGGTATGTGCTGTACTGCACATACTATACTATTTTTATCTACCAATAGAGGAGGATATTTGTAGCTCAGGGTTGAAATGAAGGATGCTGTCTGAACTTGGTTGTTTTCTTGCAGATGCTGCATTACCCAAACTCGCATTGGTGATATTACCTACTTTGGGTAATGAAATATTTGCAAGAAAATAACTAAGCTCAGAGAGCATCAAGGATCCCTCATATTTTGATGTGCTAACCTGAAGCTATTCACTTTGCTAGAAATGTACACCAGATTTATGTTTAACCAACTTTTCTGGAGAAAATAATTTGCTCTACCTGAAACTGAAATATACATAAAGGCATATGTGTTGTATATATGTCTTGGATTAGAACACTATAATGGTGTGGATGTTATATATTACAACTTGAAGAAAGAACTTTACTACAACCTGGATGGTTGGTTCCCAGGGGTTCATGGGATATTATTACTCTATCCCCTCAGCGGTCTGAAATAATATTTGGAAAAGTATCAGAAGTCGTTAGAAATGTTTAAGCAGCAGTATCCTTGTTTTGTATTGAGTGAAACCAGATTGGAAAAAGATTAGTATGGTTTTAAAATTAGTGGAAGAAACATCAATAGCCTGTGCTGTATTTATGATGCTATCTCGATAGCTGAAAATGCAAAATATCTGCAAAATATCTACTAGTATATCAAGGAGCACAGTAAAAAAAGGAACTAAAGTTAAATGTAAAAAAAAGCAAACTAAGGCCAATAGGTAGGACAACTACCCTTGGCAATGAAAGTATCAAAGTGGTGGATAACTTCTGCCATTTAGATTCAACCATCAACAGTAAAGGAACAAGCAGCCAAGAAATCCTTGGCAGAGCAGCCATGAAGGCCTTGGAAAAGATGTCCCAAAGGTGTTTTTTTCACAGGTAACTGGACTTTCTTTGTTTTTCCTTCCAAGGAAAAACAAAGAAAATCCAGTTGCCATTGAAAAAGCACCTTTGGGACAACCATGACCTGGATGACTGAAAATCTCCACAGGTTTCGGAAAAGATATTCACATGCTACTATTTCTGGACTTACAAAGATCAGAATAGTACAAACCATGGGATTCCCTGTGACACTCTATGGAACTGAAAGTTGGACCTTGGAAAAGCAAGATAGAGTATTAACACTTTCAAACTTTGCTTTTGGTGAAGGCTCCTGAGAATACCACAGTTGGCCAAGAAACAAACTGATGGATCATTAAAGAAATCAACCCAGAGTTCTCATTTCAGGCAGAAATGACCAGGCTCAAATTATCATCTTCCACTCACATTATGCAAAGACCTAGGTCTTTTGAGAAGGCTCTAATCTGGGAAAGGCTGAAGAAAAAGAGAAGAGGATAACCCCTAGCACGGTAGATGGACTCAGTTACAATGGCAATTGATGCACCATTGGAAGATCTGGAGGACCAGTTTGGAGACAGATCATAATTGAGAAAAACTATGTGGTCAATTTCACATTGTTCATGAACCCCAAGACATTCATTATATGAAAATAATTTAATAACTAATAGTATTATGCAGGAACCGATCTGGGTTGGTTACCAGACCAGAGGTTTTGTCTTCCATAATAACAATATTATAAACAACAACAATGAATAGTCTCATGAACTCTTGGGGATTGATAGTGATCATTTTGGGCAACCCTGATTTGTGTACTTACTGAGTTGTCACTATATATAATCAATCAATCAGTCAATGATTCGTTGTATTTGTAGAAAGTCACTGCTTTCTTTTCACTGCCAGCAGATTGAAAGAAGGGTAGGTACTCCTGCAAGACTGTTCCCAACCAGAAGCCCAGAAGCCTGGAAATGTAAAAGTAAACAGGGCACCTTTTTCCGTATGTGGTGGACATGTTGAGAAGCCAAGAGTTATTGGAGAAGAATTAAAAAGTGGGTAGAGGAAATAATGAAACAAAAAATTGAATTCAGACTGAAACTGTTTCTATAATAAGGGGAGATTATACTGCTTCTATAATAAGAGGAATAATAAGGGGAGATTATACTAAGATAGACAAATATATTAGCAGATGGCAGATGAGATTCTGCTGAAACGTCGCTACAACTTTAAAAGCACAACTACAATGACGTGGGAAAATACCCGAACAAAGCTGAATGCCATACATGTAAGTACTCGCAAAAACTTAAGAAAACAAATATATTATTTTACATATAACAATTGTGGCCAGAATTGTGTATGTACAGAACTGGAAACAGGATAATATACCATCTGAGGGGAGAGTGATAGGAAAAATCTTGGACTGCACGGAGATGGACAGGCTGACCTTAGAGTTAAAGGATAGAGGTGAAATGGAAAAAATGTCCCAAAGGTGGGACGCCTGGTATACCTGGTTAGACAATAGATACAAAAGTAACACGGTAACTAATGTATGAATATGAATGTTGATGATGCTGTAACGTTGTTGAAAATGTTGATATGTTATAAATTGTTGGAAAATGTTTAATAAAAGATACTTAAAAGAAAGAAAGGAAGGTAAAAAAGGTCTAAGAAACACATTTGTTCATTTTATAATGCATTCTAGATGCAGTTAATCTTGCGTTCTACCCATCACTGTTTTCACGTGAGGATGCTTGTTGAATTAAAAAAAGACTGAATGACCTGTGCCCTGGAAGACTTTTTCTGTTCCTGCATTTATGAAGATCCAAAAAAAAAAAAAAAGAATCCTCTTAAAGGGATCCTTTATAGAAACACTGAGGGACAATGGCTTTCCGTGTTAATTAAAACAGAATAATTGTTGAGACATTTGAACTTGGATTTCCCATGTGCACTGAATGTAAATATTCTGCTGTGCACTAAGCAACACTTCAAATATGTAGTGTCAGCAGTTACAAAAATAGCTTTTTTTTAGTGAATTCAATAAAATAGGTGTTTAGAGCTTTCAGCTCTGCAGATTTTCTTTAATAGGAGGAATTATCATTTCCAGAAGTATTTGATCGGCCTGCTCTCTAAACATTGTCTTCTATGCCAGTTACAAAATAATGTCAATGTTTCAGAGATTCCATTCTGGGATTTTCTAAAGGCGCACTGGAAGTTGATATGTATTTCTGATATTAGTGTTAATAGGACTATTGATTATTAGTTTGAGAAATACTGTAAGAAACTCAAAAGGCATCTGCTGTTTTTCATAAAAAAAAACATTGGTAAAATACAGTTTTTACTTTTCAATGCCAGCTCTTAGAAGCCATGTAATTCACTTTCCCACAACAATTTGAGAATTGTTACTTTATCCAGGAAACTTAATCATGTAGTAAGCATACCCATTGTAAGAGTTCTAATGTAAGTCATAGATCGTTGTATGCTGATCTTGGCTTGCTCAGATCATAGTTTTCTATCTTACTTTATAGTTAATGATCTTGATTATTTAAATATAGGAAGAAAAGGGAATATTATGACTTTGCCTCTAGGGCTTCTCAGTTTTTTTGCTTGATTATCTTTTTCAGAAATTTCCCATGATATAGATGGTGTCTACATCAGCCCTTTTCTGACAGTTCCCAATCCTGGAGCACTGGGATGACTGGAAAAGAGCTGATGTAGTTTCCATCTTTAAAAAAGCGGGGGGAAATGGATCCAGGAAACTACAGAACTATCAGCCTAACATCAATACCAGGAAAGATTCTGGAAAAGATCATCAAGCATCGAATGTGTGAATACTTACAGGCAAACAAAGTCATAACCAGAAGCCAACATGGGTTTGTCAAAAACAGATCATGCCAGACAAATTTTATTGTATTATTTGACAATGTAACAACATTAGTGGACCAGAGAAATGCTGTGGATATAATGTACTTGATTTCAGTAAGATATTACAAATACTTTAAAGTAGACCACAATCTATTGATAAGATAGAAAAATGTGGGCTAGACAGCATTGCCACTAGATGGATTTATAACTGGCTGACCAATTATACATAACATGTAGACCTTAATGGAACTGCATCTACATGGAGGGAAGTATGCAGTGGCGTAGCCCAAGGCTTTATTTTAGGCCCAGTACTCTTCAAAAATGTCAGCTATGATTTAGACAAGAGAGATCAAAGAAACAAAGATCTTATCAAACTTATCAAATTTTCAGATGAACCAAACTGGCAGGAATAGCCAGCACACCAAAATATAGGCTCAAGATACAGAAGTAGTTTGACAGACTGGAACACTGGGCCTTATCTAAAAAAATGAAATTCAATTGTCAGAAAAGTAAGGTTGTACATTTAGTTAAGGAAAACCAAATCCACAGATACAGAATAGGTGATACCTGGCTCAAAAGCAGTAACTGCGAGAGGGATCTTGGAGTCCGAGTGGACAATCACTTAAATATGAGCCAGCAGTGTACCACAGCTGCCAAAACAACAACAACCACACAGTTCTAGGCTGCATTAACAGAGGGATAGAATCAAGATCATGTGAAGTGTTGGTACCACTTTATAATTCCTTAGTAAGGCCACATTTGGAATATTGCATCCCGTTTTGGTCGCCACAGTTTAAAAAAAGACGTTAAGACTCTTGAAAGAGTGCAGAGAAGAGCAACGAAAATCATTAAGCAGACTGGAAGCTAAAACATGAGGAACAATTGCAGCAATTGGGTATGTCTGGTGTAATGAAAAGAAGGACTAGAGGTGACATGATAGCAGTGTTCCAATATCTCAGGGGCTGCCACAAAGAAGAGGGAGTCACACTATTCTCCAAAGCACCTGTAGGCAGGACAAGAAGCAATGGGTGGAAACTAATCAAGGAGAGAAGCAACCTAGAATTAAGAAGAAATTTACTGACAGTTAGAACAATTAATCAGTTGAATTGTTTGCCTCCAGAAATGGTAGATGCTTTAACACTAGAGATTTTTGAGAAGAGGTTGGGCAACCATTTTTTTGAAATGGAATAGAGTTTCCTGCTTGAGGAGGAGGTTGAACTAGAAGACCTCCACGATCCCTTCCAACTCTGTTATTCTGCTATTTCATAACAGTTGCAGTGATTACTACCAATATTCAAGCCTATATAATAACCACTGGCTATTTTTTTATTTTAGAAGACCAAAACAATATTGAGTTCTACAGTCCCACCCTGTTGTAGTTAGCCAACAGCAGGTGCGGACAGCTGAAGAGAGCGAGGACTCAGATGAAGGGCCAGGACCATTAGGGAGTGGATTGCTGCCTTCAGAGATTGTGTGGGCTGGCAGCAGCAATGAGGAGGTTCCTGAGGAGCCTATGCCAAGTGCACATGCGTGCAGGATTGCTCGCAGGAAAGAGCAGCTGCAACAGCACAGGCAACTCAGGAGTAAGGCTGCAAGGTAATGGTCCCTCCTTCAAGAAGATAAAAGCCAGCTGTGAAGTGAACATTCTTTGCAGGGAGCAAAGATGTTTTGAAACTCAGCCTCATGGACATTACAGTATCTTAAGTTGGTATTTGAAGACTCTTGTGTTGTGAAATATTTCTTATCTGTTATTCTTGGCAGTCTCACACAGTTTTGGTGAGGTTTGTGCTTATCAAAATTAATTAGTTTGCAGCAGCCTTTTAACTGGGGATTTCTAAGACTCATTAAAAGGTTTCTGTTTCCTTTGGTTATTATTTGTTTTATTGGAAAAGGGTTTGAGTCAGAACAAACCCCCCTGTCTTCAGAAACAGGATATAATTGTATAATTGTATAATTATACAATATAATTATAATTGTATTGTTGCTGCCAAACAAAATATCTACTGTATTATATTTGGGTTTGCTTCCAAAAATTCCATAGTAGTGGTATCTAAAAATTTAAAACATTAAAACAAGGCATGGGAATAAAATAATGACAATTGGTTTAAAAATAATATTTTATTTTTTGGATGATGAGATGGGGCGGCATATCAATTTAATAATACATTTAAAAATAAATGTGTTTGTACCCTTCTTGTGAACAGCCATGGTGGTGCAGTGGTTAGAATGCAGTATTGCAGGCTAATTCTGCTGACAGCCAGCAGTTTGATTCTTACTGGCTCAAGGTTGACTCATTCCTCCAAGGACAGTAAAATAAGGACTCCCCCCTCCTTTAAAAAAAAAAAAACATTCTCTTCCCCCTTTTTGGTTTTATAAAGTAGGGAAGAGAAAATCAAAAATATATAAGTTGTTTCCAGGCAACTGTAGCTATTTGTAAAGGATATAGGTCTTTCATGTAATGCAAAACCGGTAGAATTTTTTGTTTCATGAAAATGTTTGAATGATATACAGTCAAATTGAAACATGATGATGATGATGATGATGGAATTTGAAAGGGTGTATTCAGGCCTGTGGGAGTTTGCCCTACTGGAACAGTTTTGTTCCTGTTTATAATCATTTTACATATCTGGAGAATAAATTTCCTTGGCCTTCAGGGATTATGAGAAATAGATGACTGTGTAGCAAAGAGAAACGTTTCTTAATGGTTCCCATCTTTAAACAGACAAACAAGTAAACAAAAGATTGCTCCTTTGCTTGGAAGGGTCTAATAGTGGGAATTCAGTTGTGCGCTCTCTCTCTTTCTCTCTCTTTCTCTCTCTCCCTCTCTCTCCCACTCCCTCCCTCCTTCTCTCCCTCTGTCCATCTCTGCCTGTTTATCTACCTTAGAACAGTGATCGGTCTTAAATGGAGAACTGCTTCTATAAAAAGACTTAGAGGTTTCTCACTTATAATTTTTAATTAAGTGTTTCAAATTCATTTTTAACTACTGGATGTTAAATCCCTACTGGCCTGTGACCAGATGACTAATGACTTCATTTATTGATGTATATGATTATGAACACAGAAGAAGATATATGATTTATATTCTACATCGATCTTATGTGCTGATGCTGCAGAATATTCTACCATAATATTTTATTTACCCGTATAAACATTTCATTACCCTATAATAAATTTGACCTAATTCCTTGTATCTTTCTTGGTGACTAGACGTAAGGTTCATTCTAATATAGAAACCTGACGATTTAAAGTGGAGAATGCATTCTTTTTAGCTACTGTACATTCATACATGTTTTTATTAGACTGGGGAAGCCAGAAAGAGCTGACAATAAATGCTGGTATTCCAGTTTACTTATTCCAGCTTGGATATAAGCCAAGAATGAATAGGAATCTATGTGTCTCACCTTGTCCCTAAATGATTATATTTTTTACTTCAGTTTATACATTTGGCTTTAACTGGTTCATTTAAACCAGATACTCTATTATGCCACATAGGCTTAATGTTGATTTATAAACTAACATTTTAAACCCTAGATTCACAGTTGTACCCACTGATATTGAATTATATTTACATGTAAGAAATCCATCATTTGGGTTGAAATCTGCATGGATTAATGGGTGTAATGTAGGAACAGTAGATTATTCTCTAATATATGTAAATAGAGGTAGCACTTAATGTTTGCATTGTAGCTAGACCCCGTTGTGGTGAAGATCTTGTTAATAAGCAACTTCTCATTTCTATATCCTTATGATCTAAAAAAAATATCACATTTTTTTTTGTTTAGCTTGGTGAGTAGAGACATGAAGGGGAAAAAAGCCTTTTTCAACATTTTCATTTTATCTAGAGTGGTGTGGTGGCCTAGTGGTGAAGACGCTCACTGCTCATTCCAAAGGTTGAGAGTTCAATTCTACTCAGTGACAGATGTTTCTCTCTCAAGGTGCAAAGAGAAAATATCTGCTGTGAATTCCATATAGGCATCAGGAAGGGCATCCAGGCAGTAAAAGTTCAGCTCCATTCAGCCCCCAATTTTACTCCAAATGAAAGGATTACCATGTCATTTTTGTGTTAACCAAAAAGAACTGTGATGTGAAGGGGATGATAAGAAAAAAAGAATGATGGGTTACAAAGCCACTGGCATCATATCTCTGCGACAAATTCATTTCTGATAATCAGCCATCTATAGAAGAAAGGGACATATAATAATTGAAATTACAAATCTAATACTCACCAGACAAGAAGACATTAATCTTTCTTTCTTTCTTTCTTTCTTTCTTTCTTTCTTTCTTTCTTTCT